TATTTAGGCGCGTAGCCAGGGGGAGGCGGTGGGGGCAGTCGCCCCCCCCCCCAAAAAAAAAAAAAAAGAAGAAAAGAAGAGGACGTAGGAAGAAAAAAGATTAAGAGTCGAGAACGGTACAACGAATCGTCTTCTTTCTCTAATAATTTAATGAAACGTCAAAGCTTCCGAGCTTCGCGCGGGAGGGGGGGGAACTTAATTCAGACAAGGATTTAGAGTCGAGAACGGTACAACAAATCGTCTCCTTTCCCTAATAATTTAATGAAATGTCAAAGCTTTCACGCGAACTCCCCCCTCCCTGCACCCACCCCCTAGGTGCTCACTACCGCCCCCCCTAAAAATACAAATTTTGGCTACGCGCTTGCTTCTATTCAAATTTACAAATAAGGAGGGGGGAGCAAAGAAGAGTGACCTAAAAAGACACAACTTATCCTGTCCCTTGAGAGAAAGTTGTATATAAATGTACGCATCCTTAATGCCAGAATTCAATTTTCTCAGATTATGAGACACATTTTTTGTGTATTCCACTATGTCAGAAAAGCTTACACTGTAGAATATTTACTCTCAATTCTATCCATGAAAAAGAGGCCTAAATGTTTGCAATTTGTCATAACAGCCATAAATTTATTCCATTTTACAATCCTACAGACAGACTTCTATGCACCATTATGACTACGGTATTCATAAATACCGCGATGCAGTGTCCCAAGAAATGGAATGAGTCCTGCACTTTGGGGATTAAACCAACAGAACATTAGAGGGTCGGGCCATCAATCTTACGGCACCACAAACTAGGTTAAATTTCAAAACCCAATATCTGGGTTTCCTTTGTGTGCAAATAGAAAAAAATGCATGGATATGAAGTCTACTGCCACTTCTGATCAGAGATAAGAGTACATACAAATGTATATAGTGGCAGAGATGCATTAAATTTTCTATAGTTGTCTTAAGTGGAATAATCTTGTCATCATCTTCAAGAAAAGCAACAAACAGAATGTATTTCTTATATCTTACCAACTGAACATGTATAATAGGCCTAAATGTGAATCATTTCCACAAGTACATGGAAAACAGGAACTTACAAAGAGTTGAAAAACACATGCTCCATCAGTATCCTACGTTTACAGAATTGGTCAACCCTAAGCCAAACACTATTCATAATCCTTATCCTACACATAATCGTAATCTTAAGTCTAACCCCTACCCTAACTCTAACCCCTAACTCTAATCCTAACCCTAGGTATAAACCTAATCTAAAGCCCAATTGTCACCATAGCCCTAACCTTTTACATGTATCTCTGACAAAATATAGCCCAAAGCAATTGTAATCAGAGCAAATGTCACAGCAACCTTGCAAGGTTCGAATCACAAGTTTGATTAGTACTGGCGTAACCAGACTAGTTGAGCAGGAGGGGGGTGACCTACAAAATCACATCATTGTCCATCCTAAAATTTGGACTAGGACTAGGGGTAGAATTAAGGTCTTGACGATTAAGTTCAATGGATGTTCTTTTGAAGAAAACAATTTAGTGGATGAATATGGAGGGGCATGGCACCCTTGTGCCCCCTTGTTCCCCCTTGCTACGCCTTTGTCTTTCAATAAACCTCAATCTGAATTCAGTAAGAGTCATTTCCCAGCTGACATTGAACACCTCTACATTGATGAAGTGCCAAAGCCTGGAGGAGAACAAGCTAAGAGTCGTCACCTTAAAGGCACAATCACTAATTAATCATGAAGAATATAAAATATAGGGTGTGGAATCATTCTACAGTGTTGCAATGCAGGGACATTGACAGAGGGTGTCCATAGTAGAACAAAGTCAATATTTGTCATCTGCAACTTCAACATTTGCTTTAGCCTTGTCAGGAAATCAGAAAAACTAAACAAACCTTTCCTTGCTTTTTGGATAATGTTGCACTTAACTATTGCCACCTCTGGTCCAAAACCCTCTTCCCTGCATTAAAAATGGTCTTGTGATGCCCCTCAAGTTATGAGTACAAGATGACCAAGAAAAGAACACAAAATGCAAGAGTACTTTTAAAAAACAAAGCAAATTTCAGCTGATGAAAGGGCGATTTGAACGATTTCTAAAGAAAACATAACAAATGATGTATATTACATGTATGCTGCAGACTTTTTCAAAACTGCCTTTAACAACATGCTAGAAGGGATGTTTGTTTGATTCAATTAACAGGATAAAATTTCCAAAGTCATCACCTTCAAGGCACAACAAACTGACAGGTGTCTTTTAAAAACATCAATCTACAACATTCTTGTCAACAGCTAAACAGTGCCTAAACACTGTCTAAACACTCCCCAGGCATCTTAGTCCAGCAAAATGTCATTAGAGTCTATTTCCCTAAAGGGAGACAAGCAAAAAGTGGACCTAAATTTCTCTTTCAAAAAGGGGGACTATTGTAATTTTTTATCCTCGTCTACATGTAGTCATGCCTCCCTGCTGCTTGTTTATATTAGTGTATTTCTTTTTCCTGAAAGAAAAAGGTAAAGTAAATATACATGTACACCTAAATTTATGTTTAAAAATAAAAGCGACATTAGAATAAGTTTAGGTGGGCATTAATGTCCCCCCCCCCACCCTTACTTATTACAGTGTTTTTCATTCCTGGAAAAGAGAAAAAAGATACCTCATTTTATTTTTCAATAAGATAGACAATTAGGAAATACTTTTCAGAAGTCATTTACATGTGTGTTATCCTCTAAAAATCAACAACACAAATAAGTGCACATAGGACATGGGTTAAGTCCCCAAATATGAATTCATGAAATGCCTCATTTATATAATCAACATAAACAATGACGCACCTTCTTTCACTTTTAATCTGGCAGGTGTATTATTTATAGCAATAATTGTTTTGGTTTTTTTAAGAATATATTTAGACCCCTGCCTAAACTCAATATAATCTATCAGTTCTACTGAATACATTTAAAGGATGGTTGCTAACAGCCTCCCCTCCATCTGGCTCAGATGTCTAATGCACAAAATTTTCCCTCTTGAAAATTCAACGCTTTTTTTATGACAGGTCAATTAGAACATGTATTGAGCAAGATTGTATCAGCTCTGAAATTAGTACTAGCGGCATATCGCACGATCCATCAGCATTGACTTAGATATGCCCATCATCTTCTATGATGTCTATGTAATATTGGGGTCATCGTAGCCTCGGGGTTTATCTGAAAATTAAATGGTATGACATTTGGGTCTTGACAGGTTGCTGTTGTGAAACATTAACAGTGCACTTTGTATTTCTCCCCTGGTAAATGAGTAGAATTTCAATTAATTTTAATTCAAGAGAAAATGTGTGAAAATTACTCAAATTAGAAACAAATATCAGTCACCTTTAGTTTACTGTGTGTTAAGTACATTAATGCACAAAGGACATGCACTCCTCAAAGGTTTTACAACAAGACAATGAAGAATCAAAAGGGTTGACCTTTTTGCAGTCAGAGTTTGTTTAAAAGATAGTTACATGTATAGAAGTTGTTCCTTTCAAACCAATGAAGTTAACTCTTGATACCTTAATAAAGATCATGGAATATATAGAGTTTAAATCCCATTGTCCTACTTGTAGCTACTTGCTCCCTCTACAGAATATAGAAAACTTCCCAATCGGTGCCTGTTGGTCCCCCATGATCCTAGTTAGTTGAGAGCTGAGTTAATGAGATAGCCACCTGTCAGTGACCTTGCTGTGTGGTCTAATCCCTTCTGGCCCAGTAGTATTGACAATCTTTAAACAATTGATTATTCCCTTTTTTAATAAAAAATTAAAAAAATTCCCATGTTGTAAATTGTGACCTCAATAGATCAGCATTCATTGCTTCAAAAAAAAATGCAGACTTTGTTTATTTTTAAACAAGAAATTAAAATAATTACCTATGCCCTTGAATTTGTGACAAGGTTTCATTAAGCCCATACCAAGAGATCGTTCTATTTGAGTGAAGTCAAAACCTCACCTGCAACAACAAAAATACAGTCAAAGATATAAAATCTGATGCCACTGATATCAACCATAGCCAGTCACTTAGTATATTCCGGGAGGAGAGACCTGAGAGTTACAGTGATTCACTTCGCTTTTCGCCTTCAAGACACAGGTGATGCTAATTACTTCATAACAATAATAATAACTACCCCTATATGAAATTTGAGTTCACCCAATCATTGGAAACGAATTATACCATTTCGAGGACTTTATGTTACACATATATGTACATGTAGATTTACATGTATGATCAATTAAAACACTTTCAGTTTTACTTTAAAATGTTACATTAAGGACATGTCTAGTACTAAAACAATGTTATTTATGACATCGTTACTGCTGCAAATGATACTGACAGAGTGAAAGACTAAACATACAAAAGCAGAACAGATGCAAGCAACTATAAAAGTCTAAACAATCTCAAAAACGAAAAAAAGAAGAAATCAAGACACACATGGACCTTTAATTATCTGTAATCTGTATGCATGGAGCTTCACTGGTCGAGGGGTGGGGGGATGACACAACCAGCCTGTCCCCCCCCCCCCCCCCTCTCCCAGAAAACATCTCTCAAAAAGCTCCACTCTCTTTAAAATTTTTAACCTAAAGGGAACTTTTCAATAGTTTCCTTATCGTATACAGCCTTTGAGAGAACGTGTTCCTGCTGTATTCATCCACGCAAATGTGATTCCACTAAATGAAAACAGAATATAGCCCTAAGTAACTATCAATGTATCTAGGTTGCATAACTTTCATCTCATGTTCAATATCATTACAAAAGGAGAATGATAAAACAAACATTACTTGCGACCTCATTTTATTGGTATTTTAACAAAACAATCACACCATCATGGACCAGAGGCTAAAATCAATTACTTGTTCATTTTATTAAAAACTGCTTTCAGAGTAGAAATGTCAACATGGGGACTTCAGCGAGAAACGTAATGTAGCTATGTGGAGCAATTATTATCAAGGAGGTGAAGTTAAATGAATATTTGACTCACTTTTCATACTGCAGTTTCCTTTCCTTAGCGACTTCATCCGTATCAGTCATATCCAATTCTAGAGCATTTCTCTGGAAAGAAAGAAAGGTAGAAAAAAACTTGTAATGGATATCTTAAAGGGAAAGCATCTTTTAAAAAGTAGAGTCATCTATTTCTAGATATCTAAAATGAAGATATTCAATCATCTTTACACACTGACAGTAAAATTTACACAGGAGTCTTTTACAGTAAGTTTAGAATGAAGGTAATGCTCAGTTACTGTGATCAAACTTTATATTGAATGCTCAAAACTACTCATAGATGATATCTACTAAACAATTTTTGAAAAAAAGTAAAAATTAGTTTTACATGTTATAGCAGAGTGAATTGAATTGAATTGAACTTTATTTGATTCCAATCACAGTGAAAATGACATTGAAATATAAATATATATACATTGGAAAAGAAGAAAAAAAGAATAAAAAAAAGAGAGCACGATTAAATCTACTAAAAGTATATGATGGAAAAAGGTGAACGAGTAAAAGACACAGGGGCTTGATGAATGGGCGCACCCTGATCAGCAATATACTGAAGGAAAATTGAGCTTGTCATGGTATCCAAGCATCCAAATATTTGTGTTTTTCATTGAATAGAATGATATATAAGATGTGTCACAACAAAATCTGGGCAAATCTGCTGGAAATTAATTTTCTCTCTAGAGCATTTTATAATCTGAATTGTGAATCTAATTTAATCTGAATTATGAAAATTTAATTACTTAGTTTGAATTATGAATTTAATTTTAGTCTGCATTTTGATATATCGCATTTCATGTTATGTATGTTCAAGTCAAATTTACTATTATGAATCCATTTGTATCTTATTGCTGTCTATAATCTGTAATCTTGTCATGCAAACAAACCAAATTTCCAATCATTGGACAATCAAATTTGAATTGAATTGAATGGAATTGAATTGAATTAAATAATCTTTCATTTCTAAGTTATAGATTTATATCAAACATGCTTCTGTTCAGACTTCAGAATTATCTATCCCTAATGTATATAAGAATGCAAAAAATTGCAGTCAACATTACAAGGCAAATTATGCAACTATATCTATCTATCTATCTATCTATCAGGCTATAGTTCATCCAGACGTTGGACAAAGCCCTCCTCATAAATTTCCATTCTTTTCTGTCTCTAGCTATCCTAGTCCAAGCGGCCGTTCCCATGTATGATGTTAGGTCATCTCTCCATCTTCTCTTCTGCCTTCCTCTTCTTCTCTTTCCCATCCTTGGTTGCCATTCTGTTAAACGATTTGTCCATCTATTGTCCTGAAGTCTTGCTACATGCCCAGCCCATCTCCACTTTGATTCTCTGACTTTCTCCATGATGTCTTTAACCTTTGTTTTCTGGCGTATGACTTTGTGATTAATTTTGTTTCGCAGAGATAAATGCGACATCTTTCTCTCCATGCAACTATAAGAATGTGACAAACCATAATAAACTAAGTAAAAATTTACTCTCCACATTCAGAGCATTACAAATGCAACTGCAACGTAACTTGTAACACTAGAGTGCAATTGGCTATAATAAACAATTCCCCCCCCCCCCCCTTTTCTCAAAAGCAGCTAATATTTTCATTCTGACCAGGAGTGGCTCAGCTGCATCTAAGTACTTCAAACTGAACACATTTTGTAGTCTGAATTCAATTCCAGAAATTAGTCAGAGAATAAAGTAGCTTCTGAATATGACAAAACCTTGAAATTAACCTTTCACTCAACTTTTTCACTCGAATGCAATCGGCAACTGTCTGGATTTTATGTTAATTAATTTCTTGAAATGCTAGAGCGTCGTAATGGCAGCCATGCCAAAGCCAGGGTAATAATCAGGAGCAAGGCTCAAAATACATGGGGACGACGGGCGATTCGCCCCCGTGAACTACATAATCGCCTCCTCCAGATTGCTCACGGGGGCGATTACAAAATTAAAAATCGCCCCTGTGGAATTATAAAATATAGATTATCTTTTCTGTTAAATAACTTTCACGCAATATTGAGTTTCAAGTTTCAAACCTTAAACTAATGAAATGGAACTATGGCGGTTAGATTAGCATGCAGGATTTAACGCTCAAATTTTTTACGGTGTCTCGAGGCCGCCATATTGTAAACAAATGTATGCTTATTCGCTGGAAGATGGCGCTATATCTCCCATCCCCGTATCTCTAAGAGTATTACCGATACAAACAACGGAAAGTCGCAGTGCAGTGCGGCCGTCAACAGTGGCTATACTGCGCTGGTAGTACCGGTGTGCATGCTGATGCCCCATATCTGCTGGAGCTAGAGGCGATCGCGCAAGGACCGAAAAAATGAAAAGTTTTTCATTGTGAAAAAGCGTGAAGCCTATGAAATCTGGTGATTCCAAAAGACCAGCAAATAATGAACATCGACCAGTAAATCAATATTGAGAAGAAGAGGAAGACCAAAGATGTTGTGGAAGGATATGGTAAAGACTAACAAAATAATGTAAATACATGTAAGGTTGCTCTGAATGATGAGGAGGAAATAATGTCCAGAACGGGAAGAAATTTGAGAGAACGTCATCACAGGATGAAAGTCAGTAACCCTATATTACTTGTAAATTTGTAAGAAGGAAAATGCAGACTTAAATAAATGATAATGCTGAAATAGAAAAGAATTTAGGAGTATAACTATCATGGGTACAAATTCAATGGAAATTTGTATTAAAAAAAGAGCTCCAGTGAGTACTAAAAGAGCCGCTGATAAACCTCTTTCTCACCTGTTCAACTAGGAGATCATGCACAAGCGTCACACTTTTGATCTGGATCGGAAGATAATCGCTTTTTGTCTCTCTCATCAAACCAGAGAGCACGCTCAGCCCTCCAAGCTCAAGGAACTTCCTCTGTGCATGTGGGAAGAAGCGGATAAGAGACGACAGTCCATAAAGCGCCCTCCTTTTGACGTTGATAGAAGAAGAGCGGGTGAGAAGCCGAAGAAGAGCTTGCAGTGCTCCTCCGTCATAGGCACTGACTTGAGCCTTGGGATTACTGTGAGATGTAGAAAAATAGAAAGTCATGACAGAGTTCTACAGGAGTGGGGGATAGTTGGTAAGTTATCATCAACTATATGACAAGCTTCAGAAATGCATATCATCTTTTGAGAAATTTGACTTCAATCACTTAAATGAAATCATTTCAACAAATTCATTGATATGAGAAACCTTCCTCTACCAAAGATTATGTTCTTTGTTAAGACACTCTTTAAAAAATAATGAGTGAAGAAATTAATGTAAAAGAATGAAAGGCATCCGTAAGTGAGCTAGAGAAGAACACATACATGTAGACCTGCCTCTGAAAATGTCCAACCAGATTAGCTCAGGATTATTTTTTTTGTTTATATATGTTGACATTGAAATCAGTACTTATTCAGTTTGTGTTCAGATCATAATGATTTTCAGACTTTTCAAATTAGAATATTCAAGAATTCATACTTACCCTCTAGGACCATCCTGATAATACATGTACATGTATATCATCAACTTTTCACAAGGGGATTTCACATACCTGTACATACTTCCTCTACCCAACATTCATTTATGCTAATGACATTGTACTGAATATGACCTTATACTGACCTTTGAACTGCTGACCCTAGTACATGTGCAGCTTCGCTGCTGATATCTTCCTCTGTGCTGTTCAGTGCACTAATGATAATATCCCATCCTCCTAAACGTGCAAGGTCAACTCCATTATCAACCTGTTAAAGATCAATTAAATGAAGAATATGACAATCATGGTGCACCCGCAAGCCTACTGTATATCTACATCACCATGCAAACCAAAACTTACAAGCAGCATCTATGACAATCATTATTAATCATGATATCACTGAAATACCCCAGCACATTGCCAAACCAACTAAAAAAGCCTAATTCACATATGACCTGGTAAAGCCTCTGCGTAAGAAAACACCCAACATGGTTAGCTCCATATCTGAACGAGCATTAAACCAACTTGGCCATTTGGGTAATTTAGTTTGTCTTTGGTCCATTGGCTGTCTGGTGTCAGTCTAATCTGTATGACTAAAGTATGACCCTCAAGCCTCTTCTCCAGCCACCCCTCCCTCTACCTGGTTGAGATGTGCGGATGTACAACTTCACCAGGTTCTGCCTTATTCTACAAGAGTGTTCATTCATTCATTCATTTATTCATTCATTCGTTTCGGTTTATTGAAATAAAATTCTTTGTCAAATTTGGGCCTACATTCTGACTAGTCACACGATACTAGCTATGAATATGACGGACAAAGAAAGAGGACAAAATATACAGTTCCTCAGGTAGACAAAGGAACATCCCTTCACTGCTATTATGTAAAAATGTGTAGAACAGGTGTCACATGCATATTCACCTGTTCTACCAATTTCACATAATAGCAGTGAAGGGATGTTCCTTTGTCTACCTGAGGAACTGTATATTTTGTCCTCTTTCTTTGTCTGTTATGTTCATAGTGACTACTATCAAAATAGCAGGGCATCACAACTTTTTATTAAATCAGAGAAAATTTGAACAATAAGCTTTTACTCTGGGAAATGTTCTGCCATTTTGGCATTTGAACAACTGTCCCCAATTTAGAACCGGATGGGTCTTCTTCCGCTATAGAGGGGTAGCAATGCCCCTCAATTTCTAATGGACATTTCATACATGTATATCACTATTCAGGACATTGGTCAGAAGGTTTTCACATTTTTATCTTCATATCTAGCCCTGGATGTAATTTCTTCCAATCTGATTGTAGTCTGATCGCATAGTGCATGATAGCCTTTATCTGCAGAGTATTCTTTTACCTTATGAACATAGAATTCTAGATCTTGCAGGATGAGTTTCCTTGTCTCGGGGGTTTGATCTGCTCTGTATTCTTCAAAGAGCTTTGTCATGATCTCATAATCTGTTTTGATATCGACCTCGAGCTCAGCAAGCTCCTTCTTCAGCTCCTCAATAGAGCGGTAGCGTTGTTTCACTTCCTCAATCTACAAAGACGATGAAGAGAAAGGAAGGTTAAAGGTACTATGTCCCATTTGCAGGCCAAAAAAATGAAAAAGTTAAATTCCAACTGCATTTGAAAGATAATACTAATTTAGAACTTCCCTAAAAAAGGTGGGGCTTGAAAATGTCTTCAAGTGGGAAAATAATGACTATTAGTTGTCAAATCGACTTTAGGGCTATAGAGCCCAAAAGTAATAGTCTTGATTTTCAGACAATTGTACCGAATGGTCATACGTTTTATGCTGCGCAAAGATTCAATCAGTTTAATCTTGGCCATCACAAGAATTGAGTTATTGATGTAGACAAATGCTCATGTACCCTTTACAACTATTTTCATGTATGTTATTACCAAAGAAGCAAAAAGCCAGTCAGTCACTCAATAGTGTCTGACAATGAAGTCTAGCAAGTAAACGGGTTTCCTTGCATAATTTGAATATGAGGACACTGCTAACATTTAAATTTCACAGATGGGACATACATGACATATTCATAATTCCTGTAAAGTTCTACAGCATTTGAGGTTGGCTGCAAAAGGAACATAGTACCTTTAAGTTCTCAGCATTGTTTTAAAATATCATAAAGGCAATGACACATATTTCGCGGTTGGGCAGATTAAGATAAACTAGATTAAGATTATGATAAACTAGACGGAACTTCGACTGCGCGCAGTTGAAAATGATGCCTTCATCATAGAGCAATTTTACAAACCAAAACAGAAGAAATTTTCAAATTCAAGTTCAATTGTAATCCATTAATACTACAGGTTCTCAGAATATCGTGATTACAAGCAATTTCTCATATACATATATGACCCTTTGATCTTTGACCTCATGACCCTAAAATCTACTGTTCATTGGCTCAGCAAGATGTCCCGAGTTAAATAGTTATCCATGGATGGACGGACAACCCGAAAACATAATGCCTCCAGCTACTTCGTAACGGAGGCACAAAAATGCTGTAAGCCTGCATCATTACTTGTGCCAAAATTGCTTTTACTTGTTGTTGATGCCAGTAATTTAAATAGAAATTTAATATACTATATACGATATTACAACTACTCTTTCAGAAGTGGGTTTACTTTTGTGGGACTCAAACCCAAGTACCTGCATGATAAAAGTCATGAGAGTCAGATGACAATCCGATTGCGCAACACCCCCTCCATAATACTATGACCTAGAACATGTATTCATTGTTCTAACGTAATTAGGCTTAACAGTACCAAAACTCTCACCAATGTTAGTACTTCAAATTTACATCAACCTTGCGAGTTCTTGACTGGGTTTTTTCATACTACTAGGTTTTGCAAAGCTATATGTATGTGTAGTTTAAATAACACCCCTTGAAGTGACTCAGTAACATTGCCTCAGATTCTGAAACAAAATCATGGATTTAGCTCGTGCTGCAATCATAATTATAAACCTTTAGTTCAGCCGGGAATACCATGACTTTTACAAGTCGATCGCATGTCTGATTATCAAAATATTTATGATGGGAAATCCAAATTTCATTTCTTTGTTTTCCTACTTTTTTTTTAACACTTCAGTCTCAAGGGGAAAATAAGTATGGTAAAACTGGTCACTCAAAGATTTTACTTTTTTGAGGTACTTCAAGATCATTTTGAAGTGCAAGTTTTTTAGGGCGTCAATATTACACCATATCACAGACACTGATAACATTAACACGTAGAGCCATGCATCTCAGATTTAACATTGTTAAACGATACCTTTAACATTCACTTCACATCTTTCATAACTCACTAGTGCTTCATTATCATTGCAATCATCACAGTCCTTTTCTCCTTTTATCTTAGCAAGCCTTTCCTTCAGTTCTTCTTTCTTGTATGTGTCTGATTCCTCATCATCGTTCTTCACCTAGAAACAAAAATACAAAATATCAATACAACCATTTGAAATAATAAGTATGAATACATGTACATATATGTCTTTTTTTTTTTTTTTTTCTTATAGTATGTTTTTATCATATTTATATTTAATTGTATGTTAATGGGCCCCATTTACAAGCTCTGCTTCTCAGGGATCCATAGCCTGTCATAATGTTATAATTGTACCAGTACCAATGTGATTGGAAATTGTTTGTAATGATTGGCTGAATAAAATTGAATTGAAAATTGAATCGAAATATGCAGACCTACATGTACAAAAAATATTTATTCTGCCATGAACTCTTTAAAAAAAAGGGCCTAAAATAGACACAAGAGACACAAAATATGGTTGAAAGACATTCAATATCTTACTATATTTGCTCCCTTCATGGTTATTACATGTTATGTCATGAAGTTTTAAAACTGAACTTTTAAGTTTATCCAATGTCTCTGAGCACACTAAAATCAATTAATCAATATGATATTAGTTGATGAAACATGCCTGGGCTAGGCACCTTAAATTATCTCCTATTACGGTACCGATTTATACATTTTTTTAATTTACGAAAATAGGCTTAAAAATGACCTAGGCATGTTTGAAGTCCACCATTCTGAACAACATTGTGATGGAAAGCCTCAAAGAGCTTGCCTGAGAAGTGGCAGGACCTGAGAAACTGATCTTATTAAGGACACCATTCACTCGTCATGGCAGAGAATAAATAAATACCTTCTCCTGAGACTCAGCCGTCAAGGATTCCTTAGGATCATCCAGATATTTAGCCTCTTTTGTTCCTTCAGCTAGATTGATCCTCACATGAAGTCCAGCAGGGATGGCTTGGCCTGCCAATAGTGAAGTCAAGATCAACAATAAACACAAGATTTCATTCACTCACTCTTTTTCTTTATTATTTATTATTTATGTATGAATGTTTTTCAGTCTTTTTCTTGAAAAAAGACGAGTTCATGAAAGACCTACTCAAAACATAATCACATATACTTATGTTATATGGGTAATTACATAAATTAGGGACCCACTTTGTGACATTTTTGGTGTCCCACTGACATAAGGAACCCACACTTATTTGTGGCTCTGAGTAAAGACTTAAATAGTGAAGTGAGACTGTAAAGTGATTTCCAAGCATAATATTGCATCCTCATACCTAGAATCACTTAACTATCTCTATTTAAGTCTTAGGCCTACTCAGAGCCACAAATAAGTGTGGGTTCCTTATGTAAGTTGGACACCAAAAATGTCACAAAGTGCCAAAGTGGGTCCCTAATTTATGGAATTACCCATAGAGTATTCTAGTTACTATGAAGTGGTTTTCAACTTGGAATGATACTTCACCTTCTTTGATAGTCTGCCATTCATCAGTTGGTTGGAACACTTCCAATATTTCTTCATTCTCCTCCAATTCAACAGCTCCATCACAATCTTCAACAATAGCTTCGGTCTCATGAAGAGTTACAGCAGTTGAATCAGTTCCCTGGGGGGGGGGGGGGGGATGAACAAGAAGAATAGTTTGTTTTTTTAAGATTATCGTCTTCAGTCTAATATAGGCCTAGATCTATATAGAATTTGTTTACATATTCAATTTGCAAAGGGTTTCTGTTCAAATCTAAATCATGTAGGCATGCATAGTTGCATACAGGGCATGCAAATGCAATTTGAATACGCAGTATAACAATAATAATGCCAACGGTGACAGCGATGCAAGAGGACAACGACAACAACAATCAAAAACATCAAAAATAATAGTAATAATAATAACAATATTAATAACAATAACAATTTTTCTTATTCACCCAGGGTATTCTCATCAGTATAGTATTAAAAATGTTCTCCCTGAAGGCCCTGCAATCATATTATAAGTATTAACCCTAATTATCTTGGCGCCGGTGTTGGAGCTTCCTGGAGTTATATTAACCCCAGCTTTAGCCAAGCTACCATGATACAAATAAGGCGCTCAAATTATTAAGCATATATTCAACTTCAGAATATGCCAGTAGTAGCGTGTGGGATCCTTAGTAAACACATCAACAAACTAGAGGGAGTCCAGAACAGAGGGGCTAGATTTGTCACTGGCAAATATGGAATAGACGTCCATGTTTCAGACCTGAAGAGTGATCTAAAATGGCAACCGCTACAGAGTCGACGTTTTGTGGCTCGACACTCGCTCTTCTTCAAATCCATCAAAGACCAAGTATACCCAGACCGGAATACATCACACAACCCCAGAAGATACTCAAGGGACATCATAATCTCTCCTTCTCTAACATAAGATGCAAGACAGATATTTATCGGCTCACCTTCTTTCCAAGAACCATTCAGGCCTGGAATTTACTTCCCCCAGCATCTTTGCCTGCGACGCAGTTGAAACCTTCAAAGCCAGACTCTGGGAAGCCATCCAAAGGGGTAATATAATCATAGTCCCTCCCCACAACTGCAATGTTATGGGACTCAATTCTAAAATGTTCTAGACGCAACAAACACTCTCTCTCGAACGATAACGTTTTTTGGGGGGTCATCTACATGTCCCTCTTGAGGATCAGGACCAGGATCAGAACAGAATCAGAATCTTCCTATTCTACCACGTACCAGCCACAAAATACCAGCTTGCCCCAGAATAGACAGCAATAACCATCTGATTTGGGTCATTTCTTTAATAAAACTGACATTTGTTGTCATTCCCCAATTCAGATGGCAACCCAGAGATCTCGTACCGCGGGGATAGCTATAGCCAACAATGGCAGCTTTTTGTGTCAAAACATTTTCTCCCCGATTTTCTTTATTTAGAACTAATTTTCTGATTTCTAAATCAGATGTAAATTAGGTCGGTATGTCATTTGTCCTAATTACAGTTATCAAAATTTGATAACTTAATATTAAATAGACAATTTACGGACTTACTTATATGAATTATCCAATTTGTATCTCAGATCCGCGAAGCAGTACGTTCATGCATTCGAAATATTACCCGGCGGCCGATATATTTCCGGGTCCACCTACCAAAACATAGCCAAATGGCCAATCAGAGCACTCGTTTCGTGGGAGTTCGTTGGTCAAGCTGGGCCGACTCGTATGTAGCTACGGTAGCTATTGGACGTTCGAAAAGAAAAAATGAATATTCATCAACTAAAACCAAGACGGATAATGTTGACGACGAGACTTTCTCGGATTAATCATTAATTTAGGATCTAAATGAGCAAGCTATCGTAAGTCGAATAAGCTATATAGATCTATATGTTATTTTTAATTTGTGTTGTAATTGCAGCAGTTATGAGGATGTAAAGAGTGAAAATCTCGTTGCATATCTCATTCATCGCGGTCCGGTCGAACCGAACCATTTGTTCCGTACAGTGCCTCACAGAAAGAGGTCCCCAGACTTCAGTCTCTGTAATCGGAGGTCTAGTGGAGCCAGACGTAGTCTCAGTGGAACAACCGACGATTAGAGAGACTGAAGTTTTCGGTCTAGCCCCAGAATAAATCAACACAAACTTACTGATTTTCTTTATACACAATGTTATAAAAATAATTCCCTTCAGACTGAAACCCTAGGTCATGTCGGGGGTCAAGTGTCTTTTAATTTCCTTTTATAAAACAAAGTAATTTTCTTGTTGATAAGCCGAGCCCACGCCCGGCCCATATGCCATGACCATCGCGACACAGAACGTCCGGGCTAGGCCGGCAGACTTGATACTCGAGAAACGGGCTAGCACTCAAATCTCTATTGATGTGATATTCATCTCTAAATATATATTTCGTTACACTCTTACCATTGAAATAACACCACACAGAAGGGAAATGTGGAGAATTGCTGATAAAAGCAGAATACCCATCAAAGTCGATCTGCAGGCCGCCATAATAGTAGTAAGTAAGTCTTGCTAACATAAACTTCTCTCTTCGTTGATGCAGCGAACGCTCTTTATATACCGTACAGTGTATTAACACGTGTGTTAATTATTACGGTCCGGTTTTGTTATGTTTTGATCAGGTTGTACACGTGTAATAACACGTTGCTTCAATGTTATGATTCAATCCTGAAAGATATTGTGGCAATACCAACTTTTCCTTGCCTAGGTATATGATCAAAATATTAATTCATAGTTACCTATCTATAGACTATTACACATTTTTGGTTAATGCACATTTATTTGTTTAATTTCATTCTTGTTTTAGAGTCTAATTAAAAAGAAACGAGAACGATTGAGATGGTACCTTTTTTTAAAGAGATTTTGTTAATTCTTTCCAGACTGTGTATAGGTTAGGTTTACATAGTCTAAGCCCGGTACAAAAGTAGAAATTGCTAAATGGCATAACTCTTTTTTCATTAGTTCATTACAAAAATGGCATTGCCTTAGATCTAGTCTTTAATTTTTCAAAATTATTCAAACTATTGCATGCTCATCGACATGATTATACTGGAGGAAAATATTATCTTTCTCCCCATCTTATCTCCTTCCACCCTTTCTCTCCAACTTTCTCCCCCATATCGATCCCTTCCCCTCTACATTTGCCCCTATCTCTATATACACCTCTCTCTCTCTTTTATCTCTCTCTCCCTCAGGCTCTCTTATCTTTCTTTCTGGCTCTCTCTCTCTCTCTCTCCCTCTCTCTCTCTCTCTCATCTCTCTACCTCCCTCTCTCTTTCTAACTCACTCGGTATATAAATATAGACAGATGATGTAGATATATTGCCATATGAGATTTTTCCACAAGACACAAAGTAACTTGCTCTCTAGCAAGGCCCAGGTTACCATCCCCCTATGTAGTCAAGACTCTCTTGTATTACATTCTATAGTATTCTCTTCCTCCACTACACAAAACAAAGAACCACAGTCATTTCTAATTTCAGTTATTTTATTCTAGTTTGGAATAAAGCATCTTTATATTTCATACCTACTACCCATACATACTCTGTGTGGTGACAATGGCAATATGAAGTATACCAATCTGATCCAATTACCATTACCGGTACATAATATTGAAGAAAAAGAAAAAAACTCACTTAAAAAAATACAAGTGGCACGAAGATGAACGGTTATCTACCTATATCAAATCAAACCAGAAACTTCCTAGCATGAACCATCTGCAGACTGTCTCATGCTGGGCAAGAAAACTTTCAAAAAATGGCAAAAATGCTGAGTGTGACAATCATTTTGTTAGATGAATAGTTGGCAAAATCAGGGCCACTGCAGAATTTATGAAAGTTTTTACAATTGCAGTTTGCAATCATATGACAAATACATACTTGAAATATCAATGCATCTCTCACCATTTCTGCAATATTGCTTTCAAGAAAACCTTATAAATAATATCAATATGTATATACGAATATATGTATACATATAGATCTCGCATTCTTAATGAGTACAAAAATGATTTAGCAGATCAAGTTTACTATGACCCGTGTCCCTTTAATCCATTCCATTGAAATATGAAACTACAAATAACAATGAATAATTCCTGTTTAACTCAGCTGCAAGTGTGTAATTTTTACAAAAAATGTGCAAAACATCTGAATTATCGCCTAGTCATCGCCTAAAGAATCAAGACATTATGATAATAAGAATTTTTACATTGAGGTTTCAGACCCGTTTCACAAACCCTTTTTTCTATGACAAATTACAAAAATCAATGACAAATCTGCTGATACCCAATCAGAAGCAAGGATTCCAATAGCTTATAACAAATACTGTCATTTGTCACTGATGACAAGTTTTGTGAAAAAGGGCCCTATCGTATTGTGTAAACACTTCAATATGCTGTACAATGTTCTTACTCAAATTTCGATTTGTAAAAGCAGAAGAAAAACAAAATAGTATTAGAGAACAAAATAATATTCCAAATACCAAGACAGTCTACACTCGCCTACATGAAAATTGTACATTGTATTCATTGAAAAGACAAATAAATATATTGTTTCGTCAAATCATCTTCCTCCTCGTTTACCTTAATAAAACAAAAATGATGTATTGGGGAAAATAATTAATATCCTAGGCGATTATGCAATTATACAGCATTTACATTGAAACTACTCAACTTACACTTATAATCATATATGCATGTGTGAATGTAAGTGTGAAATATGATCATTAAAAATATTACTTTTCTTGAAATGCCATCACATTACTTCTGAATACATGCTACATGTATTTATAATACATGGCAAAGCAAAAACATAAAAATAATGTACACATAAGTACATGAGAGAGGGAGAAAGAAAAAAAGAGAGAAAGAGAGAGAGAGAGAGAAATCGAACCATCTGTTGTAAACGTTTCTTACCGTACATATTTTCAAGCTCTGTTGCATTAAGTAATCACACTGGCTGTGTAGTAATTACAAATCAGAATTCATTAATATTCTACGTTTATCGGCATAACTCACATTCCAGCATTCCTAAAAAAAAAACAGAATATCACATCAGTGTGGAATTATCACTTTGGGCAAAATCATACTGTTAATGTGGTGGAGATAGTGTTTCCATGTTTACACATAAAACCTTAACAATCATCACCCTCGTTTCCATTGTATATACATGTAGAAGCAATTACTCCTCTCTGTAATAATTCACCTTTAAATATGTGGAATGGTTCTCTGTCTAACTCTGCAAAGGCACTTCAAATACAATTCTGTCAATGCTTCAATTAGATAATACATAAAATGCACCGACCGATTGCATATTATTTATTGAGAATAAAAGCACTAATAATCATTATTATTCCCTCTTCACACACAAATATGCAGAACCATTTTATAATTCAATATACATGTATATCATCACATTTTACAAAATGTCTGTACCATTTATTTAAAAAATATATACACTATAAATACAAACTTGCTTGGAGGGTTTCAATATAGATTTTGAGTTGATGTTCATAAATATACAAATGCATCTGACAAGTGCATTATATGCATCTATATTTTGTTCATAGTATATACATATTTACCAACTATACATCAATTTCAGAATGTGAAGGGATAATATTGCAAATATATTGCAATAGAAGTGAAAGACTAGAATTGATCTACACAAGAGGAAACTGAAAATGGCTACTGTGAGGAATGTAAATATCTGATTGAGAACTACCGGGTAAGAAGAAAATTGCACGTGGATATCTGAGAAAAATATTAAAATTGGTTAGTACATATTGCCAATTACCATTAATTTTTGAAGTATGTTTTTTTTATCCTCCTTTTTCATCTCAAGAAATATTCCCATCAAGCCTGTGCTACAGAACTACAAAGGGAAATGAGTTCTCACGTGTCATTTTTTTCTTTCATAAGCTTCAACATATACTACGAACCTTATTTTAACTATACAAATAGCCGGGTTTGATTTTCATGAAATGAACGGTGCTCCCAGAGAGATTTAAAAAATGAACAATGCTATAACAACAAAATTTAAAGCATCACTGAGCTTAAAGCATGGTGATGTAAGGAAGGGTTGTAAGCACCTGTTTTTTTCTTGGTAAATATAAAGAGCACCATTATATTTGAATACTTCTGAGAGAAAAAAAAAAGGATTGATGAATTTAAGATCAGGGAGTCCCAGGCTTTGCGTTGGGTTAGCAGTCTGGTTGATAAACTACATCACCTTCTAAAACAAAGCATAAAGTGCATGTTAATGTTAACTAGACTCTTTATAATACATAACTTTATATTTTAGCTCATGTAAAAAAATTGAGCTTAAAACTGTATTATCCTCCTGATCATAACATTACTAAACCTATCCTGCACACCCTCACTTTCTTGAAAAGTTCTACTCCATCAAGTTTTTTTTCTTCTGGTGTGCACAAGCTCATTTAAGCCACAACTTATGATAATCCTGTCCAACAGCATTCCTATTCATTTACGTGTGTAGAGAACAGCAATGTAGATGAGATGCCTTGAATCTTCACATAGTTTCTGTTCTTGTATGTTGTATTTTTAGGGTTAAGTCAAATTTGCCTGTTTACGCCTATTCTGGTTCTTTAGTTTATTCAGTCGAGGAAGTTGAGCTGTAAGAGTCCCTAGCTTGGAAACTCTGTGTGCCTGTGCTTTGCTGGTTAACTGCTGGGGATGTTTCATCCTGGAAGTGTCTGGTTGAGTGGTTTAAGCACTTGACTTAAAATTCAAAGGTCGTGGTTCGATCCCGACATGGCACTGATGTCCTTTGGGCTTTGGCAAAGCATTAATCTTCATTTGTAACACTCGACCCAGGTGAGGTAAATGAGTACCTGGCAGGAATTTAACTCCTTGAAATGCTAGAGCTATGTAATTGCAGCTAGGCTACAGCCGGGGTAATAATAAATGCACCTCGGAATAGAATGTCTAGATAGACGGCGCTATCGAAATGCCTATTATTATCATTATTATTATCCTGGCCAACCCTGCTACATGTACGTACATCAAGCGGGCTTACAAATCTTTCAGATGTAGGCCACTCAGATACACAGTGTGCATAGCAATCAGAAGGTCTATTTGTAGTCTGCTCTGACCTGAAGAGTGTTTTCTAGAGACCTCTTCTTGCAAAGAACCTGCAACATAAAAATAAAACAAAAAAAATCAATAAGGTTCCTCTGCATAAGTAGGTAATATACATGTACATGAATATTAAAATACAAAAATCATAGAAACGCATGTTTAAGCATTATTTTGACGAAGGAAGGTTGCAAAAAGTAGTGGTAGTATCACGTTGAGTTAATAGAACCACATGGTTAGGTTAGAAAGATGCTAAATACATGTACTATCTCGATTAGGCTCAATGTTACCTAGACTTGCATTGAGATATCTTTTAAAAATAACTTTTGATTAACACCCATCACTAACTATTAAATATGCCTTTTGCGTTCCGGAAATGTCTTTTTGTTTATATTACGCTAAGATACCTTATAAATACTTCTTTATTTTACATGATTTATTTCTAATGAACAAAGACTTATCTATAGGCGTCCCACGATTTCAAGATGCAATTCTTTTCAGCAACATTTGCAAAAAGGAAACGATGAATAATACATAGTAGGAAGAAGAGACCGTATTTCAATGGCTCTTATAAAGTCCTGTGACGAAGGGTGGTAGAAAACAATGGACAGACAGATATAAACAGACACATACAGACACAGACATAAACAGACATAGTATTCCAATGGCTAGAAGTCCTGTGATAAAGGCAGTAGAAAACAATAGACAGACAGACATAGACATAAACAGACACAGACAAAGACATAGACAGACATACACAGACAGACAGACAGACAGACATAGTTGAAGGGGAATGTTACATACCAAGAGTGTCTCAATAGCATTACTGAATTCCTTCCTCTGTCCAGGACTAGCGGGTGAAGGGAAGAAATCAGATAGACTTAGATGGACAGAGATCCTGGTCAACTGAGGGCAAGCACCTGCAAAAAGAGATACATAAGGAAAATGTAATAATACCTCAGGAAACCCACTAAATACTGCTATTCATTATCATTTAAGGGTTATGAGGGTTAAAAAGCCTCTTCTTTAAAAAGTTCTGATAAAACAAAATTGACCAAAGGTTATTTTAAGTTTTAACAGTGTAATTGATTTCTCATATTTCATTTATTTTATATGCTTTTTTGTATGATTTCTATATTTTCATAATCAAATAATCATTGTATTTTTTCTTTGTACCATTCTTCGTGGTTTATTTTATGCTTTTCTTGTAGGATCATCTACCTATAAGTAAACAACCGGAGGACTGATGGCTTGAAGTCCTCTCCGAGGGACTAGCTTTATTGATATTTTATCAAAGAGCACTAGTGCATTAACTTGGTTTCGAACCCGGGACCTCCCAGTTACTAGACCACTGCTCTACCACTGAGCCATCGCACCTCCATGATGAGTATATATAATGACTTACCATTGAAATGTAATATAGCTGAAGGAGTGATTGGTGTATGTTTGAGAATGAGAGTATGAAGACCTCGCAAACCATCACGGCACAGCTCTACAGCCTTCTCCTCTGTAAGCTTGGTCATGTGATCCAGTTCTAACACCTGTAGTTTAGCACATGACCTGACTGAAGACAGAAACAATAAGATTTGAAAAAGAATCATATGAGAAGGACCTTAAATCTGATATTGTGTCCTGAATCTGAATCTGAAAATAATACAGCTCAACATTCCTGGTGAAGTGAAACGAGTCAGAGTCTACAGCCTTCTCTTCTGTGATCTTGGTCATGTGATCCAGTTCTCGAACCTGTAGTTTAGCACATGACCCGACTGAAGACAGAAAGAAACATTTCAAACATAAATTGTATGAAGAAAAATTAATGCGAAACTTTGTTGATATTGCAACACTAAGCAACTAAGATGAATGTAAGATTTACATGAACATCTGTAAGACAGAATAAACCTGCAGACCCAGAAACATCTACTGTGTTCATGTTGCTAGAGCCTATTTGGCATTCAGTCAAACTTCTAACTTCTTTACCCTACATGCAATTATAATTGCTGTCATTCAGTTTTAATGGATACTGTTGGTTATTCATTACTTTGACAATGGATTTCTATAGGATAATGAGATTCAAATTATCAGGAAAAAGTGTAATATTTCAGGTTTCATGCTCTCATACTGAGTGAGAAATTTGGTGTTTTAGTACCTTTTAGTTTCAGGGTGACAATGTTTTTTTAGAATCACTTTTCCTGTGTTAGCAAATTGCAAGTTCAATTGAATGGGTTGGACTTTTCATACTTACTAACAAGTGAAAGAGATTCTGCTTTGACATGGGTTCCTCCCACACTAAGGGCTTTGAGTTGAGTCCAACAACGACCGATCATAGCAACACAGGCACTGTTAAACCTCTTAGGCTTCTCACTGTAACAAAAACATTACAGGTTCCTCTTTATATATCAAATCACATCTACATGTATATAGACTTATACCAGTAATCAAGCACTTTCTCAATTCTAAATTCTAAGAATTCAATACAAAGCATACCTCAGCAACAACTGCTACATAACCAAATTCAAAACTTGAGGCTATACCTAACCGTAACCCTACACTCAACCTAAAACCCAATCACAACCCTATTTCTAAATCTGACAACATAATGCCCACACAAATGGTTGCAAGAGTGCATGCTGGATCACCAAATGTTCATTTCGGTAATTCTCCCCTTTTCATACAATCCTTCACTTCTGATGAAAACAAAAAATTGAATAAAAGGAAAGCATATTCAACATTGAATGGTTAAACTTGAATCAAAGCTAAGTGTGAAACAAGTCTTGCAGCTATGGGCTCATATTTGATAGGTACATAGATCATGGTTCTCTTAAATTTCCTCATTCTAATAAATTTAACTGACATTTTTCAACATTAACATTTTTTTAAATTCAAATTGGTTTATTGATAAGAAATCATTTGAGGCCAGATGGCCGAATTGCAGATTCTTTTTTTTTTTTAATCATTATTATTTATTTGGCAAAAACAAAGAGAATCATTGAATACAGAACAAGAGTAAATTTGGAAAAAAAGTCACATGGACGCTGGGAAAAGAAAAAGATTAACTAAATAACCCGAAGGTATTCTTTTCCAATCCATGTGACTTTACAGAAATGGTAACAATAAAATGATGAGGTATAACAATTTATGAATCACTGTATAACCAACAATACTAATCATTGACAAGATAACATTTAAAAAAACTAAAAAACTAAAAAACTGAACCCCTCCCCCTTCACAATCTGAATAGATAAAACATAGAACAGATGAAAGGTGAGTTTACCAAGGACTCTTTGGAGGAATCTTAAGAGATTGAATATGACGACATCCTGCTCCCAAGGCCCATATAACCTCCGGACCGACGGGATCAGTCCTGCTGATGTACGTCACACTCATCAGGCTTCGGCAGTGACAACTCGCTAACCATAGAACCCTGGTGAATCAAAAGGAGATAGCATACATTGGTTTACACACTGATGGTTATTAGTCTTGTGCATAGTGTAACTCTTAGAAGTATACAATTCTAAAATTTGTTATGTCCGTATCTACACATATACATACTTCACACTCTGATAATACTTACCTAATAACAAAAATCCTTGTTTGTATTTCAGGCTTTAGATATAAGTTGTAGAATTGACAATTACATGTCTAATAACCATTTCAAGGTCAAATACAGTTTGATATCGACACATGACCACAGATTATAAGAACTTACTGCAAGCAAAATAGACTTGGAAATGGCTACCATTTTAATAGCAAAGCTACGCTGTAGATTGATAGTACAGGGCCTACAGGGTTCTACAGCAGACATATTTTAAACCTTTGGACTGGTAAAGATTTTAAACTTGAAATTGGCAAATTTTACGATCATAGTGTTAAAGGGCAAGTCCACTCCAAAAATAACTTACTTTTAATAAAAGCAGAAAAATTAGACAAACCAATCAAAAAAAGTTTGAGCAAAATCAGAAAGTTATGAATTTTTGAAAAAGTATGTAAAACTATGGAACAATGATAATCACAGCACAATTTGCCAAGCTGGTTATCAATTTGTGACGTCATGTCCTCACAATTTATCAATAGCTTTATATAGTTTAATCCCATTAATTTCCCTTTTTATCCCCCCCCCCCAAAAAAAAAAACAAACTTGATTTCCCCATGCCTTTGCCTAGGTTACATGATTTGTATCATATTGCGTGCATAACATTTCCCAAAAACTTTTATGAATTTTGAAGAATTGATACTTTTTTCTGAATATTGTATTTCATAATTATTGATTTTTATATAAATAGTTTATCAAAATTCAATTTTTCATGATTTAACTGTACAAAAATTACTCTTTATTTGTGCATCCACACAAAAACATATTACTAACAATCTAAAAACCCTAAAACTTCACACGTAGGGAGGTGACTCTAACTCTTACACCATAGAAATAATAAAAAATACATCATACTGACAGAGACAGATTCAGCCCTGAAGGACAAGCACAAGAAAGTTAACATCATATCCCAAGATTAAACAGCTTTGGAAAGAAAGAAGAGGCAATGAAGAGCTAGAATCTAATAGATGTTACTCTTTTCCTCCGTCGAATTTCACCAAATTAAAGCAAGAACTCAGACGAAACTCAGCAAAAGAAGAACACCACTAATAAAATAAATGAAACCTACAGGAAAGTGGTAGAAATCATCAACAGAGGCAAAGAGAGAACACAATGTTGATCGATGGCATACCGGATGGTAGGAGGCAACTCCTATGACTATGGACAGCATGTCCAAGCATTCTTTGATATGTCCTAGATCTAGAAATTGAAAGGACCCATGAAATGCAGTGTGATAGGCAGAGATATGAATCAAGATGGAATCTAATACACCTTTGAGCGATGATTAGAAAATTATATACATAAATTAAACTTGTTAAGAATGGAAAATTATGGTTTTGTTAAGAAATGAAGATCACAATTTTCACTCTGCAACGGATAACAAGAAGATAATTTCACAATGCTTCATGAGTTATGTTTTAGTTCAGTATGGGTAAAGCAATGATTAATGTGAAATACACTAGGAAATGAGAAATAGAAAATGCATAGCATGCTTTTGCTTGTTAAAAGAACACTGTGAACAATGTTTGTATTCTATCAAATTATGTTCTTTAAATGTACATATACAAACTAGACATAACAGAACACTATGTTAGAAGTATTTATTAATTAATATTAGATACACAACTCTAGACAACACTGATATTACTTTTTTATGCAATTATTCCTTTATTATACATGATATGAATGTTAATTCTTGTATTCTAAATCAAAATTAGTATTTAAAAAAATGAAATTCACAAAACTAATAGAGAATTTTAGATATTCATGGATTTAAATATGGCCCTGACAAATGATGTCTGACATGCTGTAATCCAGTGCTAAAATAGAGTTATCAACTTAATAGAAAGTAAAGATTAAAGACACAAAATGGGAGGGGAAAAAAAGAGAAACATGTTACCTTTCAGTAAAAATGTGAGGACAATCAACTATCTTGAGCGTGAGAAGACCATTGCCAGCTGATTGTAGCAGTGCTTCAATTCCTGGTTCTAAGCACCCTCTGAAATACAAGTAAAGTTGGAAATATTGGATAAAATATTAAATTTGGATAAGCAATATGCAATCTGTATTAGTATGAACTTCTTTCATTACAGTTGACATTCAAATTTCATCATAGCTGAACTATCACTTTAATGTGTCCTTGTCATTTCAAAGTTGAGTGGTTAATTTTATCCTATTCTTTGTAGTTCTCTGGAACAACAACAATAACAAAAGAAGAACAGAAAAAAATGAAGAAAATATAAAAGGTCTCCTTTTAATTTTCAAAGCACAAACGTGTTGTATACTCCCCACCTGATTTTCTTGAAATAGACATCTTTGGTTTCATCTTCTCTTTGGTTCCTTGGTGAAAGCTTTTCAAAGATTAGCCACTTCAGTTGTGTACACCATGTGGAGATAGTCTTCAGAAACTGTTGGATGAATACAGGTCATCCTAGGTTTATACTCAAATCCATACATTCACTACATAACTCCATTATCAAACATCACTTTTTAAAACATCCCTTTTTAAAACAGAAAAGGGCACCATTTATCACGTCAAAGTTTAATGGTGGTCTAAGACTTACATAATCACACTTAACCAATACATGTACATATTCCTTTAAAAAAAAAAAAACTAATAATACCAGGTAGATTTTAAAAAGCTGACATAATGGGTTCACAACAATTTATCTCATTTTACTTCTTTTAGGTGCAGTGGCTTGTGAATGCCATCTGTTCAGTAGGAAATTATAAATACTGAGCAGTTATCACAAATATCAGTCTGACCGCTATTTCTTCTTACCAGCTGGGTTGTATTTCTGCAACATGCAGAAACAGTCATTAACCACAGTTATAAGATGATGACATGGATCCTAATCAAATGATTAGTTATTAAGAGCGTACACGTAACCAGGCATTTATTTTGCCTTACACGTCATTTTGATAACAACCGGTCATTATCAAATGCTAATGACCGGTCATTAGTAAAATCATGTTCATAGAATATCATTTTATAAAACAAATAAAACATAATCTTATAAAACAAATAATATACATCAGTAAAATTACCCACTCGGTACCTTCAAAACAGTCCAAACACCCTCTGTTATCGCCTCGAGCGTGTTAGACTGTTCCAAAGGTACCTTGTGTGGGTAATTCTTACTTATTCCCTCACTGCTGTGTATTATTTGTATAGTATGTAACAATGTTGGTAAACTGACTGCTAGGGGATCAAAGCTTTGCCTACCTTGGAAGATATCTGCCTGCTGCGTAGGTGGACATACTGCCACAACTCAGGTTGATGGCTTACATCTCTCCATTCTCTGCACACACTGGCACATTTCAATTTGGTGGAGGTTCGTAGGTATGAAAAGACTAGAAAGAGGATTGCTCTTCGCTTTTTAGGCTCAAAGTGATGTAGGTAAGTCCCTGAAAAGGAAGAAAGGTATACTGTGTCATTGAATGTCATCATACATGTAGAAACGAAATATGTAGCATTCAGGGAATTCTGGTCAAATAATCTACAATCTACAATGAAGCACTCAATACACATTATCTTTACCAAAGATCAAGTTATATAAAAACTAGCGACTATGAAGGAGGCGTTGGGCACACCACCACCACCTAGATATATAACCTCTGCTTAAAAAAAAAAAATCATACAAGGAATTTGATAGGGTCACTAAATATGCAGAGATAGTATGTACATGTAATTCATCATAGTTAACATTCAATTACACTAATCAATGATACATAATGGTTCTACTATTCTAAAATTAGGAGTTATTGTGTACCTTCTCGATGTGGTATTGTCGCACGTCCTTCTTCAGACCACTGAGAGACAGATGTCACCGACACATCAGATCCACTGTCTTCATTCACAAGCCTGGAGCCATCAACTCTATACTCTGGACTCTTACGGGAGTAATCCACACCATATGAGGGAAGAGGAGAGAAGCCTCTGCTAACGGCTGTAGGTGAAGGCTTTCCCTCTTCACCACGTCGCAACATCACATCTTCCATTACTTCCTCCAGGAAGTCCATATCATTCCAGTTAGTCTGATCCTTGAAGATAGGATCCCCGTCTTTGTATGAAGATACTGCTGGTATGTAGGATGACGTCCCTGGTAACAGAGACGACGATGGGGCTTCATGAGGATTAATGTTACTGGAAGACATCCCTTGTAGCACGGTGGGTGAAGGAGTTTCATAGGGAGCATTCCTTGCCGAGTTATTAGAAGTTGTTGGCAAGTTAGGTACATGGCTGGCTAATTGAGCATGACTGGTATGAATGGCTGCTTCATCAGTGTGACTGTATCTTGAGAAAGAATGGGTAGGGTTTACCATTCTGGCTTGCACACCATGTCCTGTGCCTTGGGATGAATACAGCTCATCTCTACCTGTTGTGTTTCTAAGATGTCTGCTATGATCATCTGGTGAATACTGGTGTTGAATAATGATATCAGGTGACCCACCATAAGTTGAATGATTGGTGTCTTGGGCATAAGTGTTTACAGGAGCATGCCTATTCATCACTTTAGATCCTTCACTAGTTCTGTACGGAAGAGAAGGATAACAATTTTTTGTTTCCCATCTGGTTCACAACATATGGATGATTTTTGAGATGGCAAGGCTAATGTGTAATCCTTAATCCTTGTTTGTATGATCCTTGTATGAAGAATGTATGATCCCCTCCCCCAACCCATCTAATTTGACCTCTTTCTAAGCCAGCACATACCTTACATTTTTAGTTACAATCATTTTATCGGTTACCTAGTTATGGATGTACAACAAATGTTTCAAGATCAGTTTTGGTAACAAAAAGGAAGTTGGAAAGAATCATGCTAAATATAGTCTCAAGCTGATCTCCTTGTATCAAAAGATGTATAAGATCATTTGGTATTCTATCCCAGAATTCTAATGAACAGAAGTGTGAATATCTGCAAGGAAATCTAGACAATGGCTAAACATGCTGGGACCGTTTCACACATTTTTTTCAGAACTTCAATTGGAGACAGCATTTGTAGTATATACCACCGTTTTCAACATTTTGATAGTCACTGCACCCTTTCAAGAAATAAACTTTTGCATCACCCTGGAACTCATCACATGACATGTACAATTTCTCTCGCGGTATCCCCATTGAAAAACACTGGCATGTACACACAGTTTTCATAGGTTTTACACATGTGTTGTGCAGATTACTCCCAGGATGGTACATGTATCTTCATTATTTACTACCTCGCATTGCTTCATTATTTCACTTGGGGAGGTAAAATATTCTTGGCAGCTAATTATTGCTAGTATCATCCTATTCATAATCTCATGTCAAAGAAATTTGATGAATGGTGTATGACAGCTAAGCATAACTGTACATAATCTTTAAAGCCCCATTGCACTACTTGCGCCCTCTATATAGCAAACAATGCCTAATCGGTGACCTTTGGTCCCCCATGGTCCCCTTTTTCTTATGTTAATTGAGAGCTGATTTGATGAGATAACCACCTGCCAGTGACCATGCAGGGGGGTCTAATCCATCCTGGCCAAACTAGTGCAGATGGGCTTTAAGTAGTGACAGGGAACTTGCTGGATACAAACTGCATAAACATGTGGCATTATGGTTACATGTACCTGAAACACTTTTCTCATATTTACAAAATGACAACATGATTAGAATGATCGATGTGGATACCTTGATAGTGAAGGTGTTCTGGACAGAGTAAGTGATGTTCTTAAGTCCTCCACCTCGTGTTCCGCCTTCTCAGCCCTGTCAGCTAGGTCATCTATGTAATGACGTAGATGTTGCCGTGCTACAGACTGTTTGGCCGCTGTCTCATCCCATACAGCCTTCATACTGGCTAAATTTCTGCAATGACAATTACACATACCGGTACACAAGTAACAGGCACATCCAAGTACAAATCAATTTCCATTAAAGGATTTTGAAGAAATAAATGTTTAATCTTAATATAATATTAATACGGTGCTGATGTGCCTACCTCCCCCAATACATTTTGAACCTTACATCTCAATGCTCCCTTGCCTCTGCCTATATAACTCTTAATATGATGCAATCCATAACACTGAGAGAATATCAACACTTAAGGTCATTAGATATGAGGAGGCAGTGTATCTAAATATTTGAAATCAAAATTGTTATCAATACGATTTTTAAATGACTTGTATTCTAATCAAATCTATAGTTATAGATATTAAGCTGGCTATTAATCAATTCATGTTGGCACAGCTAATGTTTTCAATCAAGTACCTTCTTTCAAACATAAATATGTCATTTCATCATGATGTATGTTGCCAAAAATAAAATGAAAGAGATAATTTGCTACCTGTCTTTGCTTTGAGCGGCTCTGAGGGTATGGTCTACTTGTGTTTGGAGTGCTGCTACCTCTTTTGTTTTCTCTTGAAGATTTCCTTCCAACCTTCTCATCTCACTCTGGACTTTCCATTTCTCAAGAAGCTCATCACCTTATAGTAATAATAATAACAATAATGACAAGGAGTTCTTGTATAGGAGTCATGTCTGTCAGACTTGACACTCATGGCGCTCCACAATCATGAAACAATTGTAGAGACAAAAAACATCCTTTTAATTGCCTCACCCCTTTATCCAAAAAAAATTGTAAATCCATCATTTTTCTTTAAAAAAACATAAAACATAATGTTCTAAACGTAACTACACAAAGTCCCCATTTTTAACATCATATGAGAAGAGTCATCGATTTCAATATTCTGGTACATAAAGAGCAGCATTTAACCAATGAAATTAAAAAATACCAGAAATTACTTGGAATTAAAGCAATCAGTACTATTCATCAATTCATAATTGAATAATTTAAAAAACGGGTGATTTACTTTGATTATAAGATACTCACCACTCTTTCTTGTTGAGACGGGATGATGACTTTGAGGATTTCTTTTATTGCTACGTGGAGTATATAACCCTGAATAGAGGCTGCGGCTACTCTGTGCTCCTGACTTTTGCAATGAAATGTCATCATCTAGATCATCATCTGCCAGACTCAAGTATGAATCGCCCTTTCCGATCTTGTCGTCATCTTGAAAGTTATAAAGACACTCCAGTCATTTATTACTCAGAGAGGTATCCAAATCAAGACTCAAATATATCACTAAGCCTACACAAGTTTGTTAAACAACTCCCTATTCCTATTGTCCTTAAAACTTACACCTCATTGTATGTTCCTTCATATTTGGTTGCATAGAATAGGCATTATAAATCAATTTCAATAACTCTTACTTCTAAACACTAACAAAATGAGGATGTATTTATACGTTAGAATTTTAAATTCATTTTGGGCACAAACAGTTGAAAGAAATGTTCTGCATGCGAAAAATGGTATCTATAATTACAGAGAAAAGCTCTTGATGCCAGTAGCTATTAAATTCGGGACTGCGATAATCAGGATTGACCAAGTAATCTTGATTTTTATATAATTTGTCTGATTTGTATGATTTTTTCAAGAACCTTTGCACATTTTCCCCCGATGCACAAAGCAACACAATAGAATGAAGCTTTAGCTTGTTGTTTCAATTAAATGCACACCCAACTACATCCTAAATCAGAAACTTTCAAAGCTAGCAAAAGTGCTTGTTTGTCAGGTGGTGGCATGGTCGACTTACAGTGTGGACCTTTCTTCATCGGTAAGATATGAGCTGCTGGCCTCATAGAAGATCGTTTGTTGAAAAAAGCGTTGGCTCTGAACTCAGCCTGCTTCTGTTTCTGCAAGAGTTGCCGAGCCAGAGTGATCTGCCGTCCCAGCTCCATGGCATTAGGAGATAGCCCTCTCCCAGGAGGAAACTGTCCATCATGTGCTGACATGGTATCATGAAGAGATGATGGAAGTGCTTGATCTGTAAAAAGAGAAACGGGAACATGGTGAATGTTTAATGCAGTTAACTTCATCTCTATTTTAACATCATTTACAGCTACTAATGTTGTGGCAAATACAAAAACAAACAAAAAAGATTCAAGATCTGCATGCAAACAAGCATACAATGACAACATCAGGAACATCATTTCACCCAAGTCCAAATGGAAACCGGAAATGGTTCTGGTCATTCATTAACAGTAAGAAATGTGATGCAACTGGTGTTGCTCCTCTTGGAGTCACCAGGAGAAATCATCCAAGCTGACTGCACCTCCAAGGCAGACACCCTCAACAAACAGTTGCATCAGTATTTACCAAAGATGAGTGCTCAACTTATATTCCAGACAAAGGTGACAGTCCTTATCCCTCCATGGAGGACATTCACATCTCTCCAGCTGGGCCCCGTCTTACAAAGAGCTGCAATTGATCCAAATCGATCGTAAGTCCTCTAATCAATCGCAAATTTGCAGTCTCTTATGTCTTATGAACATACCTGTACTTGCGATTGATATCAATTGCAAATAAGTTGCGATTGATATCAACTCTTTGTAAGACGGGGCTGGTGTCAACAAGCTGTTATCCGGACTTGACCCCCACAAAGCAACATCAGCATTGCAGCACTGGTTGCAATATCAGACCATCTCAGTCAATAACAAGAGACCCCAATCAACAAGAAATACTCAATCCATGGTCAATCACTGGAAAAGGACAACTCTACCAAGTACATGTATCTTGGTGTACATATCCAGCAAAAAATGAATTGGAATCACCTTATTAGCCTTGAGAAGGCGAACTCCACCTGTGCCTTCTTGCAACGCAACGTGGGCTAGCTCCTGCCCAAGAAACATCAAGGTGCTATGCTACAAGGCTCTCCTCAGACCTGTCCTGGAATATGGAAGCGAAGTTCTAATGCAAAGTGTGGGACCCCTTCACCAAGGATAATACAACGCCATCAGACTGTGGAAAGTTCTCCCGACATCGTGTCACCGATATAAGTACGTGGATGGAAGGGAATAAACTTAAACTAAATGAGGAAAAGACAGAGTTTTTGGTAATATGATCCAAACACAACTTGGGGAACATTAATGATTAATCTTACATTTGAAACCACTCAGATTGCACGATCTACATCGGTCAAGTATCTTGGTGTAATTTTTTATTGCAACATGTCCATGTCTAACCAAATAGACGAAATCACAATTCATATCTTCCTTTATAAAACAATATAAAATCTTACTAATTTATTGTTGTGTGCTTATAATTTTTATATTTCCTTTTGTATTGTTTTTCATTCTTTAATGGGCGATCCAACTTCACAGGTTTTCGCAACCTTCATGGAAAGCCCTGCAAATAACCTTTGTAAACATAGTTAAAATTTACTATTACTTTGTATATTTTGATTTTTATATTGCGAAACAAAATTGAATTGAATTGAATTGAAAGCTGTACGATTTCTGCTGAAGAATGTAGCACAGATAAGGAAGTATGTATCTGAAGATGTCATCATGTAATTCGCAGCCATGTTCTTTCCCGGTTGGATTATTGTAACGGGCTGCTTACAGAAGTCCCTCATACACATATAAGAAGACTTCAAAGTTTACAGAACTGGGCTGCTCGTACTATTTTTTGGTTAGACCGTCTTCATGATGCCATGCCTCTACTAACGTCCCTTCCTTGGTTGCCAATCAAACAGAGGATTGTTTTTAAGATTCTTTTCTTTGTATACAAGTTTTTTGATGATCAGGCACCAGAGTATTTTAGTGACTGTCTTGAGTTGTATAAACCTTCGCTCCAATGCAGACCCATTGCGATTGACTTTTCAAGTGGCTCGTAGTAAGGCGGGAGATCGCACATTCACTGTTGCAGCAGCTAAGGAGTGGAATAAACTTCCCTCCAGTATAACAGCTGCTACATCAGTGGATGTTTTTAAGAAACTCCTTTAACTCTACTTATTTCCTACTTGATTCAATATTATTTTGTTGGTTCAATGTTATGTTAAGATTTGTTGTTATATTTTCTTATTGCATATTATTGTAAGTGCTGTGATATAGTGTACTATGAATATAGCGTAGCTAAATGCCTAATAATAATAATAATAATAATAATAATAATAGGCACATGTTATAAGTTGGGAAATTAAAGCAGTTCTGTTCCATCCTTCTTCGTGTGAGTTTGTCATTTTTTTTCTGAGTTACTTTAGTTTAGGAGAGCCGCGAGATCGCAACACGATAAGATTGATTTGATGCAACATGTTTATTGATTGATTTTGGTCAGCTTTATTTGTCTCTGTTAAATAAACATTTTACAAACTTGATGCCTCTTCGTCTTAGCACATATACAAAGCTAGAGGTCAATACGCATTAGCATTGACTCTCTATACACCTGCACAGCACCTACATCAGTACGAGAATAAACCCAACGGTGGCCTGTACTTATAGCGAAGAAGAAGAAGAATTCTAATGCGTATTGACCTCTAGCACTGTACGTGTTAATAGGCAGCATTTGCACACATGAATAGTCAATACACTCATAACACACAAATGCACACACTCATGCCGATGTGGCTGATTGGCAAGTTTGACAGTAGCCTTAGAATTTGAATTTTTAAATTATTCTTTTTAACATCGGTAATTTGAAAAAATTGTATTTTACTGCTAGACTATTTAGATTTTGTCACTAAAGTACCGATTTTTAGTGAAATCAGTTGAATTTTGTACAGTGGTGTTTGAAATGTTGAGAATCTATCTAAGTATCTTCTCCCGGTTCGGAGGTTGATTGCAACATCTAATGCAGCCATGTGTGGCCTAGACTAGGTCGATGAGCTACTTAGCTAGCTCATAAGAAACTAACATAGTCTACAGTTTACCTGATTCAATGACTCTTTACCTATTAGTACTCTGCTTCACTTTTCAAATTAAAATGAATTTTTTTTTTTCATCGTTTTCCTCGCCTGATTGAGGTTTACAACATGCTTACAAAGATAAAAAGTAACAAAGCAGGATTGAAAGAAGATCTTCCACCTCGTATTATTCATGAATTTGCATATGAATTAAGTCAACCTGTAGCACATATCTTAAATGCATCTTTTCATCAGGGCATAGTACCATGGCAGTGGAAAAGAAGTCAAATCGTTCCAATCCCAAAGTCTCAACCACCAACAATTGAACAACTACGCCCCATAGCCTTAACTAGTCGTCTCTCAAAAATGGCAGAATCTTTTATAGCCAAGTGGCTTTTGGAAGACATATCAAAATACATTAACCCTCATCTATGGTAAAAGACCTGATTTATCAACATCTCACCATCTTATTAAACTATTGCATAACATTTTCGAAAATTGTGAAAGACCAAAATCTAGGCCAACTTTTGTTTGTACAGATTTTTCCAACGCTTTTGATCGATTGGATCACAATATTTTGATTAGGAAAATGATTGATCTCCATGTCAGACCATTTATTATAAATTGGATAATAAATTTTTTAGAACAACGTTCTCAGTGTGTGAAATATCAAAATGTTTTTTTCTGAATATGTAACCACCCATGCCGGGGTTCCTCAAGGTACGAAGTTAGGCCCAATTTTATTTCTAATTATGTTCAATGATGCTTGCCAAGATCAATCGTTGTTATATTTTAAATATGTTGATGATCTTACTCTACTTGATCACATGAAACTACAATCACATGAAACTAAACCCTAAAAAATGTACTGCAATGAGAATTACATTTATGAAAAATCCACCTATTCCTGAGACTTTTAGTATTGGTGACTCACAATTGTCATATGTAAAATCTGTACAAATTTTCGGAGTCTACATCCAGCAAAATTTGAAATGGGACACTCACATAAATGAAGTTTTGAAAAAGTGCAATAGAAAACTATACATGTTTAGAATGGTTAAGCAATATAAATTACCAATTCCTGACTTAATTCAAATATATGTTGGATACATTTGTCCTGTTTTAGAGTACGGTATTGTACACCTGTTTTTAATGGAGGTCTTACCTTAGTGCACATACAGAATTTAGAAAGAGTTCAGAAAAGGGTATGTAAAATCATTTTAGGGAAAAGTTATAATAATTATGAAGATGCCTTGAAACGATGCCAGCTTGAACGATTACAAATAAGGCGTGAAAAATTATGTATTGTTTTTGCTGAATCTCTAATTAATAACCCACAATGCAAAGGCTGGATTCCTGGTAAAAAAATTGTTGGCATGTCATTACGAAATAAACACAAGTAGATCTAGGCCTATAGTCAATATAAATGCAGAACCTCTCCTTTTAAACAAAGTGCAATACCATATTTTATTGATCTTCTTAATAATCGCTGATTGTTTTAAGTTTTTCTTTTCAAACCCAATTTTTTTTATTTGTGTATTTGAACAGTTGTCTTTTTAACCAGACCAGTATTTTATCTCTCATGGTTTCGTTGCACTATAATGTAGATATGTTTTGTGAATGGATATACAGCATGAGGGGGACTGATCTGCAACAAGTTGACAATCATCCATACCTTGGCGTGGAATTCTCTTCCAAGATGGACTGGGGTGTACATACCAACAATGTCACAAGCAAAGCCAGGAAATCACTCAACTTCCTTCAACAGAATCTTTACAAATGTCCTAAGAAGATCAAACAGCAGGCTTATACTTCCCTGGTACGGCCAATCTTGGAGTATTCATGTACAGCATGGGATCCCTACTTCCAGAAGCACATTTCAGCACTTGAATCAGTGCAAAGGAAAGCAGCCCGTTTTGTGAAAAGAAACTATCAGCGTACGGCTAGCGTCAGCCAGATGCTGCAGGAGCTGAGGTGGCCTTCACTTCAAGATAGGAGGACAGTTGCACGAACAGCTTCTATCCTCGTACCATTCAGCAATGGAATCGACTACCAGCCACCAAGAGTCAACATCGGCCAAGTCCTTCAATACCAAAGTTTGGAGCTACATGCAGAATGACCACTCAGCCCAGCTGTACACAGGCGGGATAGAGCCTTGATGTGGCTCTACTTCATCTAAAAATTAGATGTCTGCAACCCACTCTATTTTTATGAGCATCTTATTATTTCAGATTTTTGAACTCTGCACCCTCAGTTGTGATGTTTGTTGACAGTTTGCGATGCCACGGAAATCTGGACGTATATACCATTTGGTCCTGTCCAGTACCACCTTAGATGTAGATGTAGGAATTCCAGACAACTCGCCACAAAGACAACCCGCCACAATACCCTGGACATCTTGCACAAAACTCTGGACAACTCGCCACAGGAGAGTTGTCCAGGGTGGGGTGCCTTTTCGGACAACTCGCCACACTATTTTCGCCTCATGATTTCTAGATCTAAAATCCCTCATCTTAGATGAAATTGTCATTTTTCATGATTTTCGTGCTTTTATTAACACAGTCATTACAAAGAATAAAGCTGATTTCCCTTGCAACAATAACATATTTTTGACAAACCGAAGGCGTACGATCGCCAGATCATTGGGATAACTTCTCCGTATTTAGATCTAGAGGTCTATAACAGCTGCATTTTTCAGTCTCAGTAATTGTTTAATGGTAGGATCCTGAAAGCACTGGCGTACTGATGGGGGGGGGGGATGGTTATTTGACCCGCGATATAAAATTGAAACATGGTTTAGACCCTATTTCTAGATTTCTAAATCATCTTTATTCTTTAAAACAGCTCTCAAAATACTCACAATTTCCATGTTTCCTGTCATGACTGTGTTTATAAAAGAATAATGAATACATAACATGACAATTTCATCTAAGATGAGGGATTTTAGATCTAGAAAGCATGAGGGGAAAAAAGTGTGGCGAGTTGTCCGAAAAAGCACCCCACACAGGCGAGTTGTCCAGGGTATTGTGGCGAGATGTCCAGGGTATTGTGGCGGGTTGTCTTGGGGCGGGTTGTCTTTGTGGCAAGTTGTTTGGACAC